GTTGGGGGCAATATGCTGACTCTGTAAACCGCTTAGAGAGGGCTGAAAGCCCTATGAAGCGGTATATAAGTCTAACTGCTATTGCTATTGCTTCAAAGGCAAAAATGCTGGATGGAAATAGACACAGAGTTGGCAAAGATGATTTAAGCAGTGTATAGGTTTAAAGCCAGAAATATTTCCGTTAGGCGTGACATCAGAAAGTTATGATCAAGGGACTCTACACTTAATGCTACATGTATTAACAAGCAACAAGAATTGGAAAAAATGAGAACGTCCCACCGGATTTAAAGCGTTAATTCGGAAAACATTGTGATTGTGCAGAGATGGACAGACTTGACGATTGCAAATAGAAAATAAAGGAAAATGCAAAGTAGTGCTCATCATGGGCCACCATACTTGGCACATTTGACACCTGTGGACTTCAACTCCCAGAATTCTGAGAGTTAAAAGTCCACAGGTCTTAAGGTTATGAAGATTGGACACAACACTTGATTGTTCTAAAGGTGAAATGTGAACAAGGTCTTCGAAACAAGCCATTGTTTCCTACAGGGAATGAAATCCTCGCATTTTATCCGTTTTCTAGACTGATGTGGTTGTCAGGATCAGAATCGGGAACGAACCCCAATGGCGAACGAAGGCTTACCTTGGCTTGCACGGCGTAGGATGCTAGGAGGACGGATGCCTCTGGAGGACAGTAGATCTTCTCATCCAATATCTGTTTCTTCACCTGAACGAGGCAACAATGAAATGCTGAGATGGTAAAGAAAATAGTAATAATATATAAGTATATACTCAAAAGTAAGCTACAAGGGGGGCAGGGACGGGACACAATCAGGATAGATTTGAGAAGGAAAGGGAAAAAGAAATGATATTCAACTATTTCTGGGGTCTGCGGAAATACCACCCCAAGAAAGTTAAGAGCTGGAAGAGACACCCGCAAAAATAGAGAAAGAAAGGAAGAGAGGAAGATAGAGGTAAGGAGAGGAGGATGGAAGGGAGAGAAAGAGAGAGGGTAGGAAGGGGAAGAGGAAGAGAGGAGTAGGGAAGAGGAAAGAAGGAAAGGAAAGGAGAGAGGAAGGAAGGAAGTAGAGAAGGGAGGGAGGGAGAAAAGAAAGAACCTATAATAATAGAAAAAGAAAGGAAGAGGAGGAGAAGAGAGCAGAGGAAAAGGAGGGAAGGAAGATAGAGGTAAGGAGAGGAGGATGGAAGGGAGAGAAAGAGAAGGAGAGAGGGTAGGCAGCGGAAGAGAAAGAGAGGAGTAGGGGAGAGGAAAGGGAAGAAGAAAGGGAAGGAGAGAGGAAGGAAGGAGAGAAGGGAGGGAGGGAGAAAAGAAAGAACCTATAAGAATAGAAAAAGAAAGGAAGAGAGGAGGAGAGGAGAGCAGAGGAAAAGGAGGGAAGGAAGATACAGGTGAGGAGAGGAGGATGGAAGGGAGAGAAAGAGAAGGAGAGAGGGTAGGCAGGGGAAGAGGAAGAGAGGAGTAGGGGAGATGAAAGAAGGAAGGGAAAGGAGAGAGGAAGGAAGGAAGTAGAGAAGGGAGGGAAGGAGAAAAGAAAGAACCTATAATAATAGAAAAAGAAAGGAAGAGAGGAGGAGAGGAGAGCAGAGGAAAAGGAGGGAAGGAAGATACAGGTGAGGAGAGGAGGATGGAAGGGAGAGAAAGAGAAGGAGAGAGGGTAGGCAGGGGAAGAGGAAGAGAGGAGTAGGGGAGAGGAAAGAAGGAAGGGAAAGGAGGAAGGAAGGAAGTAGAGAAGGGAGGGAAGGAGAAAAGAAAGAACCTATAATAATAGAAAAAGAAAGGAAGAGAGGAGGAGAGGAGAGCAGAGGAAAAGGAGGGAAGGAAGATAGAGGTGAGAAGAGGAAGACCAGAAGGGAGCCTCCAGAGCCGGACATCAGCAAGGAAGAAGAACAGGGAGAGCCTGTTCCCAGTGCGCGCATACGCAGAGCTGCCAGAAGACAAGAAGAGTTAAGACAAAAGGGGC